CCATTTTTAAGGCGTATTGTAACATCTATGGGGACTAATGAATGATGATAAATGTTTCTCCAATCTTTTACCTTCAAAAATTCCAGGTACGTTATCTATGCCCAGAAGAAGACGCCCCACGACTAGCTTTGGCTCTCATGCTAAGTAATATGTATGTTCGTTCATTCATCTCCTCTAAACTGGGTATCGAGCAACTGCCGCTGGTAAGAACATCTCGTAGAATGTCAACGATATGTATGGAATGTTTCTTAAACTGCAGTCGGTTGCGTTCTTCTCCCAAGTGGATTGCGATAGAGTGCTGCGCAAAGAGGTTCATTTACCTTGCTTTAACGTGGACGGTACAAAAGTACCTGACGGTTAGTTTTGGTTTTCTCGCATCTCGAGACGTTAGAACTTGCTGTATCAACGCTGCTTGTCTAGGTGTTTCTTGGACAATCGATGATGTGGTGCAAATTACTGGAGGAAAACTGGAGCGCACATCTGTAGAAAGGCAGAAAGCCGTCCTGTGATTCATTGCAACATGCAACTGTCTGCCTTTATATTTTGAAATGTGAACGATTCCATACAACGGCATCAAATTTTTCAAGGATAATTCTGAAGCATATTGTTAAGTTCTCCAAACCTCGAGACTCTATAGTGTTCAGTCAGATTCAAGCTTTTGTGAATTTTCACGTTAGAAGTGTTGACCTTCTCATTAAGCTGATCCTCAAATTAATAGAAGCGATTTGAGCGAGAAATTCGCGGACTTATAGGCAATGCCTCCTCTAGGTCACAATACCCATAGAGCAATCTTCTTCTCAGTGGCTGAAGACAATTTACCGCCATAGGCTCCGTAAGAACTATCCCACTTCATGTTCTTCATATAATAGAAAACACTGGTTTCCTTTAGCAAGGGTTTTCAAAGTGCTTGTTAGCTTTCCGGTGGTCATTCTATCACAGTGTCTACTAACTCTTACAATCCTATAACCCTAGAATGGATCATAGTCCCCGAGGGCAGAGCCATTTAGCACTAAATAATTCTTCGCCCTTCTCTCAGCATCGGCCAATTTGGCTTCTCTCGCCAGCAGTACTTAAGAGGAGACCCCCAGAACAGCTGATTACCGCAAGTCACTCTGTTAAACACCCTAAAACGGCCAAGTAAAGGTGAAACACTAGGAAAGTATTAGCTCGTGCGCTCGTGCAATGCCTTTGCAGTAGATGATAATTTTTT